GCCAGAGGTTAATATAAAGCCATGGGAAGAGCTGAAGGAGGATATAAGAGAAGGTAACAAAAGAATGAAGTGGAAAAATCGAGAGCCTTACGCTTATTGGAAAGGAAATAGTAAGCTTGGCATTGCAAGACGAGACCTGATCAAATGCAATGCTTCCGAGGGGAAAGATTGGAAAGCTCGGTTATTTGGAATGGTACGGTAAGAACCGCGTTATATACTACTAATTTTACGAAAAAAAAAAAAAATGAAATATGACCGAATTTCGTAATGTTTGTAGGATTGGCATGAAGAGAAAAAACATGGATTCAAGAGTTCAGATTTAGCAAGCCAATGTACTTATAGGTAAGGCATAAAAAATTTTCTTTACATAATAAGAACAAAAGGTGTATAAAATTTTTCTTACATAATAATGAATCTAAATGTTTTGGCAGATATAAGATATATGTCGAAGGGGTATCGTGGTCCGTTAGTAAAAAATACATCTTGGCTTGCGACTCGATGACTTTGATCGTGAAGCCTCGTTTTCACGATTTCTTCACGAGAAGCTTGTTGCCCACGGTTCACTACTGGCCGATTGACGAGAAGAACAAATGCGAATCTATTAAGTTTGCGGTTGAATGGGGCAACAAGTACACAAACAAGGTAAGACATATCAGGGGTATTTTAGTAATTCACTATATATCTCGAGCCGCTCGAGCTCGATCTGAATTTTGACTTGAGTGGCTCGCGAGTCACTCGGTTCGTTTGCAACCTTAGTGAAGACATCGAAAAGCTGAAAAAGTTTGTCATTTGTTGTAATTACGAAAAAAGGACTCGATTATCTTTCTAGGCACAGAATATTGGAAAAGCTGGGAGTACATTTGTGCAAGAGAGTTTAGCTATGGAGTATGTGTATGACTATACTTTCCACCTATTGAATGAATATGCAAAGCTCATGAGATACAAGCCAAGCGTGCCTCGTGGGGCAATCGAGACCTGTTCGGAAACTCTGGTTTGCTCTGTAAGAGGACAAAAGAAGAGATTTTTCAAACACTCGATGGTGACAAATCCATCAAACGAGCTTCCTTGCGAATTGCCTCCTTCCTACGAACAAGGGAATCTTCGTGATTTTCTCGGGATGAAAGAGAATCTAACGAGGCAAGTCGTGTTTTGGGAAAGAAGTGAAAGCACAAGCAGTTGAAGAGCAAAAGATTATTAAAAAAAAAAAAAAGGAAATTACAGTAAGTTCTTTGGAGTGTAGCTTTATTAACATTTTGATTTCACGGCTTGAAATGGAATCATTTTTGGACCTTTGTCGATTTCTGATGGCTCGAAAACTGCATTGTTCGTTTTAGACAGATATTTATGCACTGTTTTTCATATTTTTTCTTTACGGCTCAACATGAAATTGTTCGAAAACATTAGATAACTTCTTTCGTTATTTCGTGTAAGGAAATAGTTAACGGCTTCATATACTTTTCGGAGGAACTTACGGTCAAAAGATCAAATAACAGATAAATTCTAGTGACTGAGCAATAAAAATGTACACAAATTTGAATTGCAAACATCTGCTCAATATATTTTATATATCAACAATGCTATTTGAGGTACAAAATACCAATAGAGCCAGAGAAAATATGTAGCCAGTAAATAAATATTCTGTGCAAAAAACAACACAAACAAATATAACAAAGAGCATAAAAAGTTTTACCCCTCTCAATGCTAGTTTTTACCAAAAACAGACCCTTTTTCAGATATAATATCAGAATATAGAACCAGAACCGAACAAAAAAAAAATCTAACTTTTACGATATTCAGACGAAGAATATTAAGAAACGAGATGTATGGGAATAAATAACAGAACTTTAATAAGCTCTTGCTTTGAGGGTATCCCAGCTCATTTCACTTGGATCGGTTGCCTGTAATTCAACCTGAATGCCATCAAGCTCTCTCTTGAACCTATCTTTCGAGCTTGCGTACAGCATTTTGGTCCTCACTTTTGCCGTGTCTGGTGACCTGAAAATTAAGCTCGACAAAAGTATTTTCAAGATACATTCGGCTTAATTTAATTTAATCGGAATCTAAAAGCATAGAGTGAAACAAGTGCTTTAGACTTACTTTGTTTAATAAAACTACGTAAATTCGGTCGAAAATGTTGTACATTTTCAAGGAAAGAAGGAAACGCGGCGTAAAAGTAACAATTTACACCAAACGACGAGATTTTATAGCGTAAAAAGTATGCATTTCTTTGAAAAATTACGATCATTTGATAAAAGATTGACCCGTCTAACCATTTCTTTACATCGGTTCTCGTTAAAAAGCCAGAGTTTGTGAAGAAACAACATGTTAATTGCTCTGTTTGTAATAAATGATAGGAAAAAAGTGACTTGTAACATGCAATGAAGAAGATCTTGCTCTTGTGGCAAATTTCATGGGTTGTGAAGTCATAGTCAAAGACCGCGTAAAAACCCAACGTAAAAACAACAATTTACACCATAATTATGATATTTTACCGTAGAAAGTATGAATTTCTGTTAAAAAATTTACAATCATCTAATAAAGCAATCGACCCGTCTAACCATTTTTCTCATCGGTTCTCATGAAAATACTAGAATTTCACTACAAAAAAAATTGTATCCAACGCTAATATATTCCAGCTTCTGTTGGAATGATTCAAAGAAAATATATAACCTTCTATTAGAATTTTATGTGAAATTCAATCATTCTAACGGCTATTTTTTCAACGGTAAAAATTTTCGTTGTATATGCAATTTTCGTTGGAATTCTTATTTCCACCATATTTCAGCCGTCGTTGGAATTATCAAAATCCAACGGAAATTCCAATTGAAAACTAATTGAAACGGAATATTATTGCTAGAATTTACATTGGAATCAATTAAAAATTTCAACACAAATAATAGCATCGGAATATCCATTGATATTGTTATTGGAATTCCACTAAAATATATTTTCGATAAAATTTTCTATTGGAACTTCATCAAGAATTTTTGTAGTGTGTATGCAAAAAAAAAAAAGTAACATGTACCATGCAATGAAGAAGATCTTGCTCTTGTGGCAATTTTCATCGGTCGTGAAGTCATAATCGAAAACCGAGTATCGGCAGTCTCCTTCCGGAAGGCTCCGGGCGAAATCCTCATACGACTCGGAACTGCTGCCGACTTTTTCTACCGTGACCTGTTGTTTCGTGTCATCGATCATGAACACGATATATCTGTGGTTCCTTTTCGCCTTTAACTCCAAGAATTTCAGCTTGCACTCGTCGCTAACCGCAATCCCAGATGCCGAGTTCGCCTTTGTGAACCAAAGCAAATCAAAAAACAAAAAGCCAAAAAATGAAACAAACATTAGTACATACATCACATTATAGATATAATCATATAATCACTTTCTTCTTTTGTAGATAGATAGACAAACAAAAAAACAGGACACATGTGTATAATTCACACAAAATGGTTAAGGTTACATACAATGATTCAAATATATACAATTAATGTTGTCAAGATTGATTACACAATAAAAAATAGGTACAAACAACAAAAAAAAAAATGGTGGCTTACCATGTTGTGTTAGCTTATCTAATGAGGAAAGATAACTAAAGAACAATGGTTTTTGAAGAAAAGTGGTGGAAAATGGAGAGTTGATCAAATGCAAGAGGGAATAAGGGAGAATATTGCAAAAGGGATCCTTGATTTTTGGTGGGGTATTGGTGTAGAAGAAATATTCAAAGGTTGTGAGGAATTGTAGGGTGTTTATAGCTTGAAAAGAAGTACAACAAAACTATATATATGAAAAAATGAAAATATNATTAACCTAATAAAAAAAAAAAAGTGGTCTATAGTGTTAGTATTCAAAATTCATGCATTTTTAGATTTGTATTGAGTAACCCATTAAAAATGCTCTTAGATAAGTAACTCAAGCCAGTGAGAGAGATTCATTTGAATGAGAAAAGTTGCTCGAAGAAGTGTAAACAAGTTGAGCCAAACTCAAGCTCCTAGAATTCGAGCCTTGATCAACCAGAGTTATGTTTGGTTCGTTAACTAAATTAACTGAGAAATGAGCTCGAGCTCGAGTCATTAATACTAAGCTATAGAAAACTATATAAGAATCTCTATTTTCGTGTCTTAATGAACTGAACTCAACTCGTTAACTAAATGAACTTTAAACAAGCTCGAGCACGAATCGTCTATAAATTGAGCCAAGCCAAACCAAACCGAGATCACGAACAACTCATTTCGTTTAACAACTCTACCCACTATTACAATTAAACAAATGGAATGACTAATTAAAGATGTATAAAAATTGAACCAAATATGAAGATAATCCGATTAAATTTAAACTAGACATTAAGGTAAACGCTAGTTCGGTCCAAAAAAGATAACAATTTGGTATTGGCCCATCTCAATTCAAATGAAAGGGCCTAGTCAGCCCATTTTCAGCTTGACATATGATTGGGTTTTTATGTTTATTGTTTCATTTCATGGCCCAAACTCGTAACCTATATTTTCTTAGAAAATAACGCCAATAAAATTTTGTTGACCCAGACCTGATCGGAAGAATTGCGCCAGGCTCGGGCAGGTTTTTTGGGCCGGACAACAAAATATCCTGTTAAACACGGTCAAACGACCTATATTTTCTTGAAAAACAAATTATGTTACTTATATAATATTCACACGATATATAAATATTAATAACGAGATACAATATTATTACTAATTTGATGTTTTTTACATGTAAATTATTGTTTTTATTATTTTTATGCATATTTAGAAGATAAAAAAATAGTACATACATAATGTTCAAATCTTCACCAATTAAAATTATCCTATTTTAGCAATTGACTAGCAATACGGTAGTTGAACCAGTAACTCTGTAATCCAAAGTTAGAGTTATTGATTAGTTTGGGTTTTAAAATATTGTTTTATGCAATTGCAAAGTCATTTTACACACAGCTTAACTTAGACATGAAGAAATTTACATGTAAATTCATGTACTTTTATTCCAAACCACAAAAGCATATCAGTCAACATGTCAATAATTAAATGCACCATAGCTTATAATACTTTTACTAGAAAAAACTATTGGCTTTAGTTTGGTATGAAAATGGAACCACTCACTTCATTTATCTAATTCTTCATCACAATTTGTACGAAATATGTGAGATATTATAATATATATTGATATTATTAAATATCAAATTTTTATTTATGTTGATTTTTAAAGTTTTAAATTTAAAATATTTGTAAAAAAATATTATGTCGGGCTAATATGATTAGATCGACTTCATAAGTACCTACTCTATATATAAATAATATTAAGTTTTTCGTAAGTTACATTTGGAACACGCATAATAAATTGAGATAAATTGATATGTGAACTCATTCAATTAGGCCATCTCCAGCCCTTATCTCTACTCTAGCGCGGACTTTACTCTACTCTAGAGTAGAGTTAAACATTCATCTCCAGCCTTTATCTCTACATTTTACTCTACATTAAATATATTATTTTTTTATTTATTTTTTATTTCAAATAAATTGGTATATATGTATATTTAATCTTAAATAAAATGTTAATTACTCAAATAATAAAAATATATTTTATTTCGAATAATTTGCTATATATATGAATATGTAATATTATATAAATGTTTATTACCCAAATAGTAAATAATTAGTGCAAATTTACACACTAGACCATATATGTTTTAGACCATATATGAATTAGTGCAAATTTACACACTAGACCATATATGGTTTAGAGCATATATTCACATTTAAAAAATAATTGTAATAAATTGAATTTCTTAAAGAAGATACATATACATCTATGTACCGATTGAATCAAAACTGTTACTTTTGAAAATATATGAATTAGTGCAAATTTACACACTAGACCATATATGGTTTAGACCATATATGAATTAGTGCAAATTTACACACTAGACCATATATGGTTTAGACCATATATGTCATCTTTAATCATGTTGTGTTTATTTGTGTGTTAAGTCATTTTTAATCATGTTGTTTTTATTTATGTTCTATGATTTTATGTGTGTTGTAAACTTAATTTTAATGAAATAAACTTGTTTGAGTGTGTTAAATTTTTATTCATATAGTATCATTTTAATATTAAAAAATTGCAAAATAAAATTATAATACATCAGTAAATAAAAAGCACAAAATTATTTAGCATAAAAAATACATTCACTAATACACATTATACAAAAATTTATCAATAATATTACAATAAATGAAAAGCAAAAAAAAAAAAAATGTAACGCTGCTACAGTGTTGCGCCAGATGTGGCGCAACACTGTAGCTTTCTCCAAAATAGAGCTAATTTGTGGTGCAGCATTGGGGAGGGATTTTCGCTACAATAGAGTAGAGATGGGCTATGTGGCGCAGCATTGTAGGAGCTCTTAACCAGATAATTTAATTAAATTATAAGTGAAGATTATATAATTTTCAAAATATGAAACACATGTAACAATCAGGCAGTGCCCACGACTTTTCCACCATTTGTCCCTTTCTATTGGCTTCGTCGTCATCTTCCTTGATTTTTCTCTCTTTAATTTTGCACAACTAGTATTTATAATGCATTTATTCTGGTTTATTAAACCACAAATCAAATTTTTTAACGCTTCCAATCAATTTTTTCGTCGCCCATATATTTTTCTTCTGCACTCTCTCATCTCTAATCGACATCGTCAAAAGAATT